GTTACAACTATCCCCGGTCTCCCCTACTGCAGCTAGACTCATTTTATAAGCACAATTTTAAGTGAAACATTCTACTATTTAAGTTTATTCATAGACTATGGAGCTGACATCCAAAGAATGTAATCAATTTTACATCATGTGGTTCTTGCCAGAGTTACATTTGCCTTGCTTATTGTTCTTACCAAGTCCTTTACAACTCAAAGAAGAAAATGGTGCATTTAATGAATATAAGTCAAACAGTGCCACCTCGTGGACAACAGACCAGACTACACCTGGTCTAGTGTTAAAAAAGGATTGTCCGGTTATGCACTACTTCAGCCAGTTTGTTGGCTCTTAATTTAATAAATTGTTACTGCATTTTTTTCAGATTGTTTTCTCTTTTGAAATGTCTCACATCTCAGTGACGACCTTTTTCTTTTTAAATGACAGTTACATGATTGGCTATGACCTCTAAAAATGAAGCTTTTATATTTGCTATGTGTGTAATTCTGCCACAAAAAAGAGAATCTGATTAAAAATGCAAGTGCTAAGATTTGCATTTGACTAATGTCTGTGTTTCTCACATCTCCTCGGACTGCACTTGGCTTCCTCATAATGTGGACTGAGGAACTGACAATCCAGTCCAGACCCTGTTTGAGACCTTTTATGGTAAAGAATGTGCCACATGTCATATTAAAGAGGGGAAGTTTTATCTGATGTTTGAAGGATTTTATGCAGTTGGAGAACATTTATTTTCCCACTGTGAGCTCATTCCTATTATCTTTTTAACAACAGATTGAAAACTAACATATTCAATATTTAATTGGTGTTTAATTATTTTTTTTCTGGATTGGGAGGAGCTGATGACTTATTTTTTTTACAAGAGTTTGAGCTCGTGTTGAAGCATTTTTTCAGTGAGCACATCGTGTTGAGCCCTGGTCTGAAATTGGGTGCATCCTGATGCAGAAGTGATTGTTTATTAGTTTGATTTATTTTGGAGTTATCATGAAGTTATTTTTCTTTTGTTCTCTAGCTAAATTATTTTTCTTAGTTTGAGTTTTCTCTAGTTTGGCCAAACAGTTTGCACTGCAAATATGGACTGTTGACCTGTTTAAGAGCCTGTTATTCCTGTCCTCAGAGACTCACATCCTTTACAAGTACATCATATCAGCACTGCAGATGGCCCAAGCAATGAAACCATGATGTGGATCTGGTTTATTCAGTCTAATGAGAAAGATTAGAACATTAAATATCCTGAAGGATTTTTATCTGTAATTACATTTATTCATCTTAGTTCTCAAACCAAGATGAATTATTAAGATGTCTCACTTGCTAGTTCCTCAAACTTACATGAAAGTGGTCACAGTGAATAAAGCAAAAGGGATCTGAAGTTGTTGAATTTTTGTTGACTTTATGATTTTACTCATATGAACACTGATAATTTACAAAGTTCTCTCTTCTGCATTAAAAAAATGAAAAACACGACAAATGATGGATAAAGTTTTACTGCAGTTTGTAACAAAATATTTACATAACAACACAATGCTAAAATGCTGAGATGATAAAGCTGATTCTGGTCAGTTCTTTATTTGTCAGTCATATTCCAAATGATGCCACCCTGTGGTGAATTTGCCAAACTACACTTGACAGTGTTGAAAAATGTGATATAATATTATTGTACTTCTGCGTAGACTGTCTCAGTTTTGTCTGCTGACACATGTGAACTGTTAGTATTCTGTTTAGAGTCGTGCATTTGAACAGTCGAATATGGTCCAGTATCTCTCCGTATGTAGGTGCTGTACGGCTCAATGTCCTCTGACCTCTGCAGAAACAAATATGTTTAAAACATTAAGGTTAAGTAAACAATATAAATGAATCAAAAGTTACATCTTTTGCTCAGTACCGTGTTTTGAGGACTATGCGGTGGTTCTGGTTTTCTGTAAGAGAAACACAAAAACAAACATGATCTTGATCATCAGTCGCTGCATCGTGTAGCTCGTTTTAATGGGGGCAACAGGAAATGAAAGTCACTGTGTTCCTTCAACGGCTCATATGAAACCTGAAGATAAGAAATTATTTATAGCAGTGTTGCACTTCCATTAATACGATAAATATGTCTGATAAATTATTAGCAGGCAGCTAATTGACTTTAATTCACTTAAACATGAGAACAGCAAGACGTTACATCAAAATGACCTTCAGCTGTTTTAAAGTTATGACGCGTGTTAAAAGGTAAATCATGAAACATGTGAAACACAGCTCTGACAGTAGTTTCTCACCTGTGGCGCAGTCGTGCATAAATAAATCCAAAGATAACTAAACTCACAATGATGAACACGGTTACACAAATCAGTGTAAGAGGAAGTGTTTCTGTTCCAGACCTGCTGCTTAGTTCTGTATGAGGAGAAAAGCAGTTGTTAGAAACTTGGATGTAGTATTTGCATTACAACTGAACAAAGGTTAAGTGTGATGTATGACTATTGGCCTCAAAGTTAACAAATCCTGAAGGTCACCTTCTAAAATCAGTACAGACTTTATATTGCTAAATAATTTATGGTTAAAAGAAGAAGAACGTTGTTGTTT